CCCCCCAAACAATCTGAGGAGTGTAAACTGGCCCTCTGCTTTAAAAGTTTGAGGACCACTACAATAGAGGAAGGAACTGGTCAAACAGTATTTATTGCCTAGAAAATCTCTATAATATAAATAGGGTAACTATAAACAGACAGATGACTTGAAGGCACACACATACATATTGTTCTATATTGTTCTGTTTTATAGTTTATAATATTTTATAATTATGTTTGAATAAATTACGTATTTCCTTTTTATTTCTAAATATCTGAATTAAGGCAGAAGACGAGAGAAATATCTTTACTTATTAGCAGTTGTCTTCAATAGTTTTTGGAAGATTTTGAGTTATGCTAATTATGTTGAGAAGCTTCTTCTAATTTGTTTTCTTCATGAGATGTGGTTTTAATAATTGGTGTAATGCTTAGATGTTTTAATTCTTTGGTTTTAATGTAAATGTTTGTTTTAATTGTATGTTGTTTCTATGGCATTGAATTGTTGCCTATTTATTATTTATTTATTTATTTGCTTCGCTTTTATACCGCATTTATCAGCCTATTCGGCGACTCAATGTGTAAATGTGCCTATGTGTAAATGTAAGTGTGCCTATAAGTGTGCCTATGTGTAAATGTCGCTCTGAGTCCTCTTCGGGGTGAGAAGGGCGAGGTATAAATATGGTAAATAAATAAATAAATAAACAATAAAATGCATGACAATAAAACTAGTAAATCTTGGACAGTTGTGGCCTCAAAAAGACCCAACCTTTAATAGCTAGCTACAAGTGAAGGAAAGCCTGTTTTCAATGACACATATATGCATATACAAATACATATCTGAACCCAAAGATAAGTTATGGCCTGTAGACACAAATAAAAATACCCAAAGATCTATAAAATATACTGTAATGATATAAAATACTAATATGTAGGATCCATTGCACACTTGGCATGAACAGAAATATTTACAGATAATAAAATGCACCATAGAAATTCTACCATCAGTATAAATTATACAGTTCTATAAAATTGTGTCAAATATTTGCCTATGTATAGATTTAAAGGAAACTCCTCAAAAATCGCATTTTCCCCTTAACTACAAAAGGCTTTGTTTAACTGAAAAAAACCCTTTAAATTATCAAAAACTTAAATTCTTAATCAGTCCAAAGGCAAAGTATTATCAGTCTCTAAACAGAATATAAAGAGACATGGAAATTATAAGAGGGTAGCAGGAACATGACTGGAAAATTGCTCAGGGTTTGTTTTTGTTTTTTTTTGTTACAAATGTATTTAGTAAATCAATTATTTTTCTTGTATTCGTTTCTGTACAATGACTGCACAGATGGAGAGCAGCAGCGTTAGTAGGTAAAGACTACAGAAAGAGTGAGAGTACCTAAATAAAATGCAAATAAAATAATATGGCAACTATGTACATATAACACACAAATGTAGAAACAGAGAAAAAAGTTTTGCCACATATATAAAATAATTGGAGAGGTTCAACTGTTACTGAACCAGTAGCTACATTAGCATTGTAATTATCACCAACTCCACCCTCCCAATCTATTATAGAGTGAGGGATATAGGTGTGCTAATATCACACAGATAAAAATGTAAATATGGACACAGCTAAAGTGCACTTAGCCAACGCTTTCATGTTAGAAACAATTTTGGGTGAAGTCAGAAACTTAGAAATGCACAGTGTAATTGCAATAAATATTGTAATAATAGAATGTTATTATAAAAATAAGCAGATGACAGCTTATCTATATGTTGTGTTAGTCTTAATTTTATATATTCTTTACTTTTTAGGTAAATTCTATATTTATGCTTAAAACTTTTTAAAATTTGTATCATAGTTGGCTCCAAAGTAATTTATGAAAAAAATGTTCAGAAATAAGCATATTGAATGGTTTAACAATCTACATAGCCTGAAGGTTCATGTGGTGGTGATAAAATGCTTTATGCTACTATTTTAATCTCATAAATCTGTTATTACTAATCAATATACATTTGCCATTTTGCCAAGAGTTAGAGTAAGTTTCTAGAAAAATAAAGGAGTCCTACTCCAAGGTTTGGCATACTGGCTCCACAGTCCTGACTTTTAACTGCAGCATTGCTGAAGCTTTATAATCATTCGTCCACAGGAATCCTTGTCCAGGTTAAAACTCTTTTCAGAGTAGTTACAATGTCAGTCTGTGAAATGAATCATCCTTTCAGACAGCTGAGATTGAAATCTGCATTATGATGGAAATTTTCCTTATTGTATGTGATCACTGCTATTGTGTGTGCATTCTACAACATTTAGGGTCAGATACCCTATGTGAGAACATGCACATGTTGATGAGCTCCTTCTGTTTCTCCTTTTCTGTCTCTTATGGCCATCATCACCCTACACTATCTCTTACTTTCTCACATATATTTTCCTTCTACTCAACCACACTCTCGACCATCAACTCTTTTAGACAGATAATAATAATAAAGATAATATCCTCCAACATTCTCACCCCAGATATGCCATTCATCCAACAGATTGCATGCACACCAGCTTATTCACACATTCCATCTACCTACACCCAACTGACTTACAAGAACACCACTACATGCATACAGAAACACCCATTTCGTTCCTTCCTTATTCAACGGAAAATCCAGATCTGACCAGAAACAACTGTATCGCCTCTTATGATGTGCTCTACCTTTACTACCCAGGAAGGCACAATGTTGATGAGAATGAATGAAGTATTCACACCTTTAAAAAGATAGAGGCAGAGACTGGACTCACACAAAAGCTATTTCCCAGCTCTTGTGTACAGCATCCTGTGCTGGTTTTCCCCTGGCAACCGCACACACATTTTGTTTCATTCCAAACTCAACTTAGTCTTAAAATCCATACATCTCCCATCCCCTAAAATCACCTTGATACAATAAGGTCTTCTGGCATGCAGTAGTGACTGCATTTTTCTTCTTCTTCATGGAATGCATGGCAGCCATACCAATCAATAACCTTTCTTGTTTTCCTATCAGTCTTACAACAGTACTACACTCCTATTTTATGGCTCCTCGCCCTGCTTTCTTCCTATTTTTCCCTACCACATTCTGCTCAATTTGTGTGGCCAGAGTCAGTCACCCATTTGATCACTGACTAAGCCTTATTTCACTGAACAAAGCTGAAGATGGGCACCTGTGTCCCTATTACGATGGCTTGAAAGCTACCTCAAAGAGGCAGAAAAACAGAAAGACAGAAGAATCTCTCCAGCAAACACAACAAATGATGTAACAACTTATTGAGTGAAAATTTTCAATGCAATTTCCTCATTAGATTGAAAATAAAATATGTGATTTTAGCTCATTAAATTAGTCTGTATATTAGGCTTATAAAGAGTTTGCAATTTGATTTTCTGCAACAAAAAAAAGATATGCAGAAAGTTTGAATACAATTTTGGAATACTTTTTAAAATAAAAAATTTAAGTCACCAAACAGAATTACATACGACATTTAATGCTGCTTCAAAATCTCAGCGAAAGATTCACAAGATGACAAGGCTTTGGGTAGAATGGCTCAGAAGCCCACACATGCAGTCTTGTGATCACAGTTTTGTAAAGTCTACCCAATCACTCAATACAACTAAACAATATTCTCAATAAAATATTGAGCATACAAGTTAAGAGATGCTAATGAGAAGAATGCTTTTCTTGCTCAATGGCAATATGAATGTTACCAATTCTCCACTGAAAATTAGAATATAACGTAACTTGTGTTGATGCCCTCATATCATAAAGTCAAATGTCTGCTAACCTTCTGATATTGAACTAATTGGATTGAAAAATTGGATGACTACAGCAAAAAGAAGAGGGAAGAATATCAACGTATGTGGACATGATATAAAGAGAAGAAAGAAAGCAGAAGAGCAGGAGGAAGGGGAGTTTAACAGAAAGAAGTCTTTGTTGAGAAATCAAGAACAAAAGGCCTAACCGGTCAGCCAGCCAACCACACATTTTTTAAAAATCCATTGCTATAAGAACTGCCAAGATTCAACCCAAGAATAATATTGTACTTATCACTCAAGGGATATTTAAAATGATTTCCTTTTGTACAATAGCTTCAGCAGAAGTGATTAGTACAAATGATTTAGTAAATTGTGATATAGAAAGGTTTTTAGACTTGACTAAACATTTTTAAATACAATTTTATTTTAAAAGTATATAAAATAATGTGTAACTTGGCAACAAAAATCTACAAAATGTATTTAATGCAGTTTTCATATTTAAACCAAGCTGATGAGTGCTACTGTACAATCAGCATGACTGATATTTTAGCCTACAAAAATATTCCACTAATTTTCTGAATTAAAACATGTCCTTATATTATTTCAAACTATTTTAAAGTGTACACATTGTTGCTATTAAATAACAGTACTCTTTTAAAATAGAAATAAGGTAAGGAAATGTTGTTGCAACTTTAGAAAACTCGGTGTAAGTCCTTTGCAGGAATAGGAATCACTACTGTTCTTTGTTTTTATTTTTCATTATTTTTACTATCCCAGTCAATATTGCTTAATATTAGGAAGAAATAATACCAAAAGGGACTCACAATATTACAATAGTATGACTGAAAAACTGTGTTTAACAGATAATGAAAGAGGCATCATGAGTTTTGTACCTGAAAATATAATATCACAAGAATCTGATTTACCAGACATTGGCAGCAATTTCTCAACTAACCAAGGAATGGAATGAGTTTTATGAGTTTGTTAATGCTTTGAAATAATCCACCTGAATATAAGTAAAATTTATTATCTTATTCTTCATCAGACATATGAGAACAAATATACACAAATGACTCAAGCAAAAGATGCAGCATAAAACACCCTTTGTTCCTTATTTAAAACAGTACTACAATCCATATGGAAAACTATGTAATTGCTTATTGCCTTCAACTAAACATTTATATTATGAAGAAACATAATATGCACATTACTAAGAAGGGCACTTAACAGAAGGATTAAAACTTCTTACCCCATATTTACACTGCCGTGATGTTGCTCCATACTGGAAGCGACACTGTTCATCAGCATCGTACACCTGACCTGGTGCCACTGCGGGATAAAGAAAGTCACGCTTGGGAGGCTCATTATCAAGGCATGTACCACGGCCTGAACTGTTCAGAATAAAAGACCAAAGAAATTATAAATGCTATGAATTTGTTGATGAAAGCAAAATACATATCCAACTGCTGTGTGAAATAGATTCTGAAGTAATATTTAGCATTAAGGAAGAAATTAAAAGAATGGAGTTTTTTTTAATTGCTTAGTATGCTAATGTTAGAAAAGGAAATCCATATCTGCTAACTTGCAGTCAGAAACATCCCAGGTCATAAGATTTCAAACCCAAAAGCTTAAACCTTAAGAGGAGTGTTTGTCACATGGGGTGGACCCCTGCGATATTATAACAAAAAGGGTGTTATAATGCTGACGTCATTAAAAATTAGCAACAGCGGCTCAGAGCATATCAATAAAACAAAACACCACAGTTTTACATATGAGAAAACATCTGTCTTATTGAAAATTACATTTCAAGTTCTTGCTCGAACAGTAGGAGAGAGTGGTCAGTGTAGAAAAATACTGAACTCTACACTCTGTTCCAAACATTATATGTTATTCAGGCTTTTTGCTGAGAATATTCTATGAACATAGAAAAAGAGCAATATATTAATGGCAAGCTAATTAAATTTGAACTAATAGGCAAACCAAATGGATTTTCTAAGTACTTGTTCACATGCAAGTATAATCTTTTATTGAAATCATGCCACAGGGTTCTGTCCTGGATCCAGTTCTGTACAACACCTTTATTAATGACTTAGATGAAGGGTTAGATGGCATGATCATCAAGTTTGCAAATGACACCAAATTGGGAGGGATAGACAAAACTCCAGAAGACAGGAGCAGAATTCAAAATGATCTTAACAGATTAGAGAGATGGGCCAAAACTAACAAAATGAAGTTCAACAGAGACAAATGCAAGATACTCCACTTTGGCAAAAAAAAAAAATGAAATGCAAAGATACAGAATGGGGGATGCCTGGCTCAATAGCAGTACATGTAAAAAAAGATCTTGGAATCCCTGTGGACAACAAGTTAAACATGAGCCAACAAGATAAAAAAGCCAATGGGATTTTGGCCTGCATCAGTAAGAGTATAGTGTCTAGATCCAGGGAAGTCATGCTACCCCTCTATTCTGCCTTGCTCAGCCCACACCTGGAATACTGTGTCTAATTCTGGGCACCGCAATTGAAGGGAGATGTTGACAAGCTGGAATGTGTCCAGAGGAGTGTGACTAAATAATCAAGGGTCTGGAGAACAAGCCCTATGAGGAGTGGCTTAAAGAGCTGGGCATATTTAGCCTGAGGAAGAGAAGGCTGAGAGGAGACATGATGATGATGATGATGATGATGATGATGATGATGATGACATCATGATGGCCATGTATAAATATGTGAGGGGAAGTCATAGGGAGCAGGTTTGTTTTCTGCTGCTCCGGAGACTAGGACAAAGACTAATGGCTTCGAACTACAGGAAAGGAAATTCCACCTGAACATTAGGAAAAACTTCCTAACTGCGAGGGAGACCTGTTCAGCAGTGGGACTCTCTGCCCCAGAGTGGGGTGGAGGTTCTTTCTTTGGAGGCTTTTAAATAGAGGCTGGATAGCCATTTGTCAGGAGTGCTTTGAATACGATTTTCCTGCTTCTTGGCAGGGGGTTGGACTGGATGGCCCACGAGGTCCCTTTCAACTTTATGTTTCTATGTTTTAAATATGTTTAGGTGTTTTTATCAATTTTGAGGGAAAGACAGGATCTAAATTACATACATAAATACATTTAAAAGAAAAAGCAGACTTGTATTGTTAGGATGCTTTTTATTTACATATAGATTTCATTGATGAACACATTTAACGTAGCAGGGCTTACGTAAATATATTATAAGACTGAACATTTATGTATTATGTAGTCATAGTATGGATAAAACATAACAAATGGTTCTATTTACATTCACACATGCAAGTTCAACTCTCAAAATAATAATTATTATTTTGCAACATTTCATCATAGTTTGCAGTGTGTGTATCCAGTAATATTTTGTTATAGTAAGTGCACAACTTTGCAAGGGATAGGAATACCTTAATTCCCGTCTCCCAGTTTTCTTTCTTTTTGCCCCTATTTCTTGAAAACATTGCCAACAGAGATATCAAGTAGCTTTCCATTCCAAATTTGCAGGGCAAAATATATGGATCATATGAATGAAAAGTTTGATTTAATTCTCAAAGGAAAAACTGAAAACTCATTGTCAGAAAAGAAAGTAGTGTCAAGTTTTAATTGGAAGTAGTTATTTTTAGTTTCCTAGAAAGTACCGTTTTGCATCTGAACAAAGCAAGACACAGCATAGGGCAGAGTTGTGCTTAGTGATGCAATAGGCAAGATCGAGGCAATAGTTCAAATTTCAGATTGTCTTGGAAGCTGCGGAGAAATAGTTTGTTTGTTTTTTCAATTATAGTTTGGTTGGAACACTCTTGACTGAAAAGTCAACCCAGGTTTTTGGAATTGATTTTTTTGGTCATTTTCCTCCAACTTATACATGAGTATATCCAGTAGACTAAATTTAACTAGAATTTTCTGAGTACCACAAAGATATGACAATAGAGAAAACATTCTTGCAGCAGTACATGAAGAAACGATATACAATGCATAATACTATTAATTTCTGATAGTTGTTCAAACGAACACCCACACCTATTGGGCTTTCACATTATTCTGGATGAAACCAACACATATAAAAGAGAGCAAAATAAAGAAGAGTTATATCCAAACACTGGAGTAGGAGTTATTGGATTAAGATGGACGCTACTATCAACATTGACAAACCAATAACTTGACTAAGAATTTATTGTTGTGACATGGTTTGCTTTTACTCCATGTCCCTCTTTTACTCCTCCAACAATGGCTGAACACTGACAAACCTAACAGCATTTACTATTTCTTTAGTTGTAGAGAGCATCATATACAGCAGCATACACACAATTATGTACAAGTATTTCTAATTTGGGGTGTTCAGGTAAATATTTTCTTCATCATTGTACCTATCATGTATTTATCCCAGCAGGGTATGACTGATTGTAATTTTTTTCAAGAATTTGGCATCTCTCTTCAGATATTACTTACTCTAAAAAACTGGTGATATAATCCCTGCTGCAGGCTGACCATGAGAAAGGGTTGGTGTTTGCTGTAATGTGAGCTGCCATAAGTTTTGCTGCTTCGTGACCTTTGGTTCCACAAGAATTTCCAATTCCATCATGGTTCATACCAAAACTGTTCAAAAGAATAGGGACAAGGGTATCCATTATTTGTAAATGGATCAGATAATCATTGTAACATTGTAAGATCTTCACATTGATGCAATATAGAAAAATTAACTCAATGAACAAAAAATAAACCAGAGTAAATTTTATATAGGTAAATACATATATTTATAATTCAATTCAAAAGCTAATATTACTTTAAGTCTTATAAAACTTTAACACAATACTATTATTCACATATTTCTTTCAGTCAGGTCCTTAGATTTAATTAAAATAATGTCTCAAAGCTCTGTGTGGTTTACATACATGGTACAGGCTCATTGGTCTGTAGCATTCCATTATATAAGAATTACAGCAGTGTGAGCAATCTAACTATCTTATATTCCATCAATGTTATTTTTTAAAAAAACTGACAATAATCCTTGAGATTCTAACCATTTCATATATGCATATTAGTTTTGCTACTATGTTATTAAAATAGCTTGATTGAATTCAGACACCATGCTACAGCTTGCACTAGTTGTAATCTAAATCTCAAATCAAATGTACAACAGTTTCTATTGACAGCTTTGCCTTTCCACTCTTCACTCAGTTTCATGAATTCACACTTTAGTCTATTCCATGGTAAACCAATTTTTGCGGGCAGATGGATGGATGGATGTAAATATGGCTTGTCAATTTGGGTATCTCAGCAGACAACAGGATAGAACAGGGGAAGCTGATTTCTAGGAGTCTTCCTAGAGTTTGCTGCTTGAGACTATAGAATATAAGTGTCATAGATTGAGTCTTGAGATTTCATAGCTCTGCTATTTCCTCGAGGATGTTTCCTTGGTGATGATTGTCAAGATATCTTGACTAAGCCATTCTACTGAGCCATTACTTGGCTTCCAACAAATGTATTTTGCCTAGTCTTTTGACTCTGCTGTTTTTTATAGACATCTATTTGAACCCACTGTCATGTAGGAATGTACAACTAAAGGACTTCTGAAAGATAACCATCCAAGTGCTTTAAAGATCTCAAAAAAAAAAAAGAGTCAACCATTCTCTACAGCAGTCTATTCCTCTGCTGAAAAAAGGCCTTCATAATGTGCAGGCAGATTTTTTTTCTTGTAATTTGAATCCGCCAGATTGTCTTCTAGTTTCTGAAGTACTACTTAAAAGCCAAGTTTCACCTATCCAGTACTTGTGTATTTCCTTTTTTCTGTCTAGATGTAGTACCTTAGTTTTATTCCTCTTGAAATTCATTGTTAGTTTTGTTCCAGCTCTCCAATCTGTCAAGATAATTTTGAATCCTGTGTTCTGTAGTATTTACTACCACTCCCAAATACGTGTTGTGTACAAATTTGTTAACCACGTTCTTTTGATTTCCTGGAAAATTTATGTGGTCAGCCAGCCTAAAACTGTAGAACCCTTGATCTGTGTATTTTCCTTTTCATATCTACACTACTGCTAACTTAATAAATGTAAAACATAGCTTTGTGTTTACGAGTGAGGACATCTGCAATTCTATAAGAAATACCCAGAATCAGCTCCATAACAAGATCTTGCAAATATGGTTTCTGGTGTCACAGCTAAGAATGCTTGTAACAAAAATGTTCTAGAAATTCCAGAAACCTGTTCTAGTGACATGGAGATAATACTGGAAAATGGGTGTACTGGGAGAACTGCTACTGCTTTTCTAGGAAGGAAGGGGAATCCACATTTTTTATTTATAGAAGAGATACAATGCAATTTTGAAAGAAATCAAAACCCCAAACCCTTGAAAAGAAGGATTTTACTATTTTATACTGTGTTTATTACAGATTGGTTCATTTATGTGGCTGGCAAGGTGAAAGAATAAGTGTGATTCTAGAAAGACAGATAGAAAGGGACCATATATGGAAAATATGACAAGCAAGCCTCCTCTACAGATACTTCTACTATACAGAAGTAAAACTTTTTAAAAAATTAATGAATACCTTTGTTCAATCGAAAATAATACAATTAGTATTGTAACACTAGCATCTGAAAATTTATTTATTTATTTACTACATTTATGCGCCGCTTTGTTCACCCCTGGGAGGACAAATAGTTCCTAAAAAAAAAAAATTATTGGGTCTACAGTAAAAAACACTAATTCTTCCTGTAGTAAGGTAAACTACTAAACTGGTCTATGTAAGTCTATTACAGGTTCCACAGAGGCTCAAGTCATTTTTTGTCAAAAGTCAGTGATATGTTATAACCAAAGTGTTGAAGTCAGCACAAAAACAGCAAAGCAAAAACCCTCACACAGGAGAAACTCAAGAGAAATAATTCATCCAAGCCTACATAGAAGTGATAGAAGTTTTATTCAATTCAATTGCACTTATTGTGAGATGCATGCATGTAGGATTACCATTCTGTTGAACATTTTTATGTCCTTAAACATAAGGTACAAAAGAAATTAAGGATGGCCAGCTAAACCCACATACACAATCATAGAAATGTATATTTTTACTTAATGTTTTTATTCTGTTCCCAAAAAATGGAATTTAAATTCCAAATAAAAAACAAAAACACAGACACTAGAGTTAAATCAAACAATACTAAAAATAATCCTCTAATCCCCCTTCCCCATAATTTTCCCCACTTCTACATCCCTTTCTTTTGAAAAACACTAAAAAGTTCAACTGATCTCCCCCAACACAACCAAGGCACCTATCAAAATATTATATTTCTATTCTTCTAGTTTCATTAATTTCTGCTAAACATGGACAAGTATATTGAATATTAATACATACGCATGAGTAATTTTAATACAAAAATGTGAATACGAATATGTCTATGATGTAAAATGTTATCATATATGTGAATGTAGTCAAAATCTTCCTCTAGTCTACGATACCATACAGTTTGGTTTCAACTGATTTCCCCCTAAAATACCACACAGAATAAATCTTTGGCTTTGCTAATATAAAGTCTGCTATGTTTCGTTTTACTGCTGCTCCCTGCCTAACCAGAAATCTATTTGTTTCACTTACTCTACAGACAGATATAAGGAACTTCTGTACCTTATTAATTTTTTTTTCAAACATGGCTATTGCTCCCCCCTCCCTCCCCCCCCCTGAATCCCAGGTGTAACCTGATATCTGCAGCACCTAGCAGAGACTAATTCAATCAGTCTGCAAATCTCCATTTTGAGAATGGATTTAAATGCAGACCTTATGGCTAAAATAGCCTGCCTATTTTCCCCTTTACTTTTTCACCACTATAACTCTCCCCTGCTCTATGTAACATTTTATTTGTGTGTGTGTATATACACACACACACACGTTCACCACCTTCAAAAAGTATAATCTACAATGGACCGCACTATAAAAAATTTAAAAATATAAATAAGGTATAAACGCACCTCACATTTTAAAATAATCCAGTTAAAATAATATGAAGATAACAATACTGCACATTACAACACAGTTTAAAATGCAAGGCCAGTAAACTCAACCAAATATGTTCAACTAAAAGCCAATGCTCACAGGTATCTTTGCAAAGCGCTCTTAAAAGCAGTCAGCCATACCTCTCTCAGGAAGAAAATTCCCTACAGAAACACCCCTTTCTCTAGTGCTCTCCACTCTTACTGATCTTTGTGGACAGTCAGGAAGTAGAGTCTCCATGAATCACTTGAAAGCACCAGAAAGGTCACATGATTGTAATATACCCTTCAAATAAGCTGTATCTAAACAGTTTAAAGATTTTAAAGAGTCAATACCTGCACTTGAAATACCCTAGCACCCAGTGCAGGAGGTACGAACATGATCTGGCTATCTACAAAGCTTTGAGCAGATGCATTTTGTACCAGATGCAGCTTCCAAGTCACCCATTTAGGCCATTACTAACTGAAACCAGGTTTGCTTTCTCTAGAAACCTCACAGAGAGGAATTTACTGGATCCTGCTGCCACCTGGGTTTCCAGAGTCAATGAAGAGATTTTGTTAAGAATATGGCATCCAAATTGCCTAAAATATACAAGTCAAATTGGATATAATGATTCACTGAGAGTTTTTAACTCTGATCTTCAAAATGAACAGGAAATAAACACTCAAAAATATTCATATATTTACTGAATGTGTATCCCACCATTCTCCCAGAATGAGAATCAGAGCGGATCACAATAATAGCTCAGCTGGTAAGCAAAGCAAGTCCAGTAATGTGCATTCACTTGTGGCTGACCATATTTCTTACAGGTTTTCCATCATTGTATTCTGGCTGTCAGTTGAATAATTTCTTAAGTCTTGAGTAACAATAATGTACGTGTAATAGTTATGCCTGATTGTCTGCATATTATTTTTCATCTGGAGAAACCCTGCTTGCAAGACATGAATTGTATTGATGTAGCTGTGTTTTTATGACTATAATGTTATAAACATTCTTTAAATTGGTGAGCAAGAAATTTCAGCTTGTATTTGTTATGGTTATGTGTTTTCAAGTCATTTCTACCTTAAGGCAACCCGAAGGATTTTCTTAGCAGAATTTATTCAGGGGGGCTTTGGCCTTCTCTTCCTCTGAGGCTAAAGTAATGTGACTTGTCAAAGATCCCTCAATTGGTTTCCAAAGATCAGCAGGGATTGACTCCTGGCTTCCTAGTGTTCTAGTCCAGCACTCAAACTACTACACCACCCCGGTTCTCTTTCAGTTTATATACTAAAACATATATCCTAGTGTAAAATTAATGCAACATTTTGTGATATTACATTAGTGTAACATTCCATCTTCAGTACGTATATCTTGAAGAAAGATTTCTTCCAATGTCTGATTGTTCTTAAGTTAAAAAAAGAATAAAATAAAAATCAATAATTACAATGATTGTATGTATACTTAAGAAGCCCAGGGAAAAAATAAAGCCATAGGCAGCTAATTAAGGTGAGATTTGCAAAAGTCTGAAAGTGTACTTACTTGTGGCCAATCTCATGTGCTATGGTAAAAGCAGACCCTAGGCCAATATCTTCATTAATGCTACAACTCCTTTCAGGTTCACACATTCCAGCAACAGAGGCCAAGCCTGAACAAACAAAAGGAGACACAAAGGGTCATGCCAAGGTGTTTCAGTCTTAAAAGCCCTAGTTATAAATGCTAGATTCTTTTAAAGAACCTCCATGCATGCAAGCAGCAGTTGGCAAAAGGTTAACTTTCTAGTCATTGCAAAATCACTGGGGGGAATTTCTCTCTGCCGGCTAGACATTAATATTTTCTGAACTGCAGTCGCTGCTGGAAAATGTCTAGACTAGGGGTTAGATTTATAAATTTTACTTCTGGTAACTTGGGACCACCTAGTAACTTGAGCCAGGAGAGGGAATTCAAGCAAGCATTTCTATTTTAACATTTTTGAGGTTACAAAAAGCAAAATGTGTCCACATTATTTTTATAAAGAGATCTGTTTAAGTTTAGTGGGTTCATAAAACATACAGGCAACATTTTTAGCCACAAAATCAAAATGCTATATTTTTAGGAATTGTTGTGGTAACAAAATGCCTCTATACCAATGACAAGGAAAAGGATGTTACCGCTTCACCCACTAAAACACAGAGATTTCTATTTATTACAGTTTTCTGAAACTAACCTTATTACCGACGTATATTTAAATTTTCTAGAATGGAAGAAAAGCTTCAGATATTTTGAAACATTATGCATGTATTTCATTACTGCACAGGATGTGTGCTATTGCAATATTAATTTACCACTACTGATGGACTATGATCTGCTGCAGCCTTAAAGGTTTTCCTTGCTGAAGACTGAAACCTGCAAAAAGTATTAATATACCCACCCAGAAGAAGTTGAAATACTTCTTCTACATACAAGAACTGAATGCAGTCCATTTTATATGGAAAAAAAATAAGAGTATGGCAAATAATTTATTCATAAGGATGTAAGAAACACTACTTGTTCAGGGTTTGTACTAGTGTTGTATTTTTTCCTGCTCAATTCAAGAGTGTGTGCATTGCACTTGTCTTCCATCTAGAGCCCTTGGAGATTTTTTGACTTACAATTCCCAACAAGCCCAGAAACAAAGTCAAGAGTGATAGAAGTTACAGTTCAAAATATCCAAAAGAACCAAAAGCAGGGGAAGGAAAACTATTCAAATTCATACAGTACTGAACAGATTCTGGCCCCATATATATTATACCTTCTTATTTGCTTCCACAGAACATGCCCCATACCCAATAAAGGTCAAGGACATGCCTGTCTACCTCTTGTACCACATCTTGTTTTTTATTTTTAAACTAGCTAACAATCCACACTGCTATATAATCAAGTTTGAAATGCATTATAATCGTCAGTGTAGACTGACAAGTAACTATATAATGCGGTTAAACCACACTGAACTGGATTATATGAGTCTACACTGCCATATAATCCAGTTCAATGCAGTTAGGGGTATAATTTTTATTCTGTGCTTTTCAGTAAATATAAGAATAAAAACATAGCTTATGGGGGATATGTCCTGGGGTAAATCCCGGGGATCCAATAGAAGGGAAAGGGGGGGATTTAGGGACATGCAGGGAAAGCGGAGGATAATAAAAAAAAGGAAGGGGGGAATTTGGATTGGGGTTAGCGTCAGAGGGGTTAGGGGATTGTGGGGAAATTTTGACTTCCACGCCTCCTTTCCCGCGTCTTATCTATGATATATATATATATATATATATATATATATACCCACACACACACATATACACATACATATATGTTTTAAGCAATTCTCAGCATCCGGCTTCTCCCTTCTATTCGCATCTTTCTTTTCCCTGCCTTCTTTTCAATGCAGTTAATCTGCATTCTGAAACTGGATTATATGGCAGCGTAGATGGGGCTTAAGTATTCAAACAGAATAGACTTTAGTGCTTACAACATTTTACTTTCTTTCCAAAAATTATTAAGGTAGAACAGAGTTTAAGGTCACAAAATAAAATTATAGGTTGCTTACCTGTAACCGTAGTTTCCTGAGTAGTCACCTGTGAATTCGCACATTTGGTACCTCTGCGCCAGCGCAGTACAGCTTTTGGAACCTTCTAGAAGATAAAAATAGACATTTTACCCCTGCCTCCCCCCACCCACTCACCCAAGTATATGTTGTGGTTCAGCAACAGCATGATGGGTCTGAGAGTGCAAATGATGGGCCTGTGAGTGCAAATGGGCATGTTGTGAGAAATCTGAACTCTCAGTCTTCTCAGCCACAGTTCACAGCTGAAGGGAAGCGCTTGTGCTCACAGCCTAGGAATGTGGCTGACAAGAGCGGTGAAGGTCAGGGCAATCAGATACAGGTGCCGAGAAGAAGCGGGAGGCTTGCGGCCAGATCTTGAGGCCATCTGTCGGTGGGAAATGTGCTTGTTAGTGAAATGTTTGTAGTTTCATGTTTTGATGCTTTTCCCTATAAGTATGCTGCTGGAAAGCTGGCTCTTTGTCTGTTCAACCTTGCTAGAATGGATCGCTATTCCTATGGCTCTGCGATGGGGCCTGAGGGGGGAATTGCCTGCTTCCTGTAACTTCATGCCAAGCCTGATTTTGTTCCTGCTTCTTGCTTTACGTTCCTGTTTGACTATGGACTTTTATTGAACCTGCATTTTATACTTTGAACTGACTATTGCTTATAACTGGATTTGTTTGATTCTTCAATAAACTATTTTCTTCTCAAGACTGGCTGGTTTGTCAGAGGGCAAGGTGAAACTACTCTGAGACGCAACAGTATATATAGCCCGTGGGCAGGGCTAGCCACCAGTTCTCTTCCGCCGCAAAGCAGCCAGAAGGCGGGGCATGACACTCGAGGGGAGGACGGGCAGGGATGTGCGAATTCACAGGTGACTACTCAGGAAACTACGGTTACAGGTAAGCAACCAATAATTTCCTGTCGTAGTCAACTGTGAATCGCACATTTGGTAGATTAGCGAGCTACTAACCTTGCATGGTGCACATCATGCCACCGCTGAAAACAGGACTGTTCTGCCGAACTCTGTGTCCTTTCTGGAAGTGACATCCAGTTTATAATGGGCCACAAAGGTAAGTGGTGAGGCCCAAGTGGCGGCATGGCAGATGGCATCCAACGGAACGCCCCTCAGGTAAGCGGTCGAAGTAGACACTGATCTCGTTGAATGGCCTTTGACATGTTGAGTCAAGTCCTTGCCGGCCTGGCGATAACAAAGCTGGATCGTAGAGACAATCCAAGATGAAAGTCTCTGGGAGGATAATGGTAAGCCCATTGTGTCCTTGCAGTATTTTACAAACAGCCTAGGCGTCCATCTAAATGACGCCGTCCTGTCTACATAGAAGGCAAGGGCCCTACGTACATCAAGCAGATGTAGACTCCGCTCCAGGGGTGTTGTAGGATTTTGGAAGAAGGGAGATAACACTAGATCTTGGGACATATGGAAGCGGGTAGAAACCTTAGGCAAAAAGCAACATCAGTTCAAAGCACGGCCTTGTCCCTATGGAATCTAAGATATGGAGAATCCACCCTTAAGGCACACAACTCGCTGGCCCACCGTGCAGAAGTAATAGCCACTAAAAAGGCGATTTTTCATGAAAGGTAGGAGAAGTCTACAGTGGCCAAAGGCTCAAATGGGGGTTTCATCAACAAAGCCAAGCTCCATGCCGGGGCAACCGGAGCCACAGGGGGTTTAACATTAGCGATCCCTCTTAAGAACGTTTTGACTAAAGGGTCGGAGAAACAAGAGGGAAGCCCCGACTTTCTCCTGAACCATGAGAACGCAGTGAGATAACATTTCAGGGAAGAATGTGACAAACCTGCATCTGACAGGGATACTAAAAAATCCAAAACAGTTGATATAGAGGCGGTGTCCGGATCTAGTCCCTTTGATCTAACAAAACTACAGAAACGGGACCATTTATAAACATAAGAACACTTCATAGAAGTCCTATGGGGGGCCTCAATAATAGCTAGCACAGAGTGTGACAGGCCCGAAAAGGGGACTAACGGGCGGGTAGGATCCACCAAGCAGTTAATCTCAGCTTGTGCATTTCTGGGTACAAGACTTGACCCTGCTGAGACGTCAGGAGGTCCGCCCTGTTCAACAGACGGACGAAGACACCATGCGCTAGCTGATGGAGAGGAGAGAACCATGGCTGTCTGGGCCACCAGGGAGTTATCAAGATGCACTGTCCCTCTGGACCTTTGCCACCACCCTCAGTAACAGGGGAAACGGGGGGAAGGCATACATGGGACGGTCAGTTCACGTTTGAAGGAAGGCATCCCCCAAGCACCCTTCCTGTGGGGAGGCGTGCTGGCTGGCACAAAACAGAGCACACTTTCAATTGGCCCGAGCTGCAAACAGATCTACTTCCAGGGTCCCCCATGCCTGAAAGAGTCTGTGAGTCTCCTCTCGATTGAGCGACCACTCGTGGTGCGCCAGGGGATTCCTGCTGAGGGAGTCTGCCAGCGAGTTCTGTTCTCCTGGAACATGAGTTACTAGAAGATGAATCCCTCTATCTATACACCAATCCCATATTTGCATGGATAGAGTCAGGAGGGGTTGTGAGTGGGTACCACCCTGCTTGTTCAGATAACATCACCGTGGTGTTGTCGGTGAGTACCTGGATTACCTGACCCAATATGACCCTTTCAAAGCATTTCATAGCCCTCTCGACGGCAAGCAATTCTAAGATTTTTATGTGAAGTGTGCCTTCGTGCTTTGACCAGACGCCATGGGCGATAAGGCTGTGTGAATGTGCACCCCACCACGTAAGGGAGGAATCCGTAGTTACTGTTCTGGTGAGGCGAGGGGAGTAAAACGAGGATCCCCAACACACCCATGACTGGTCCACCCAACATTCGAGTGAGTGGCAGACAGAAGCAGGGAGAGAGAGTCTGACAGAGGGGTTATCCATGAGGGGGTTGAAGATAGAAAGGAACCATGACTGGAGGGGTCGCATTTGCAACCTGGCATATGGGATAACCGAGGTGGTCGAGGCCATATGCCCTAACAAAATTTGGATATGCTTGGCCGACGAATAGGGGGAAACCATGGCTTGCGTAACCAACTCCTTCAGGTTGGCAAAATGATCCTCCGGAAGGAAAGCCCTCTCAGAGGTGGAGTCTAGAAGAGCGCCAATGAACTAGATTCGACGAGTGGGTAACAGGGATGACTTTTCCAGGTTGACCACGAGGCCCAGGGACGGAGGAGAGACAAAATGACAGAAGCATGTATTTGCAACTGGTTATGAGATTTGGAAACTATCAACCAGTCGTCTATATAGGGGTAGACTGTTATCCCCCTTGTGCATAAGTATGCCACCACCACGGTCATGCACTGGTAAAAACATGTGGAGCCATCAATATGCCAAAAGGCAACATATTAAAACAATAGGCCTGATGGCCAACCATGAAGGAGGTAAACCTGCAGTGGTGAGTGGCAATCGAAATGTAAAAATAGTCGTCCTTAAGGTCGATGGTAGCAAACCACACCCCCTTGATTAGAAGGGGCATTATAGAGTTGAGGGTGACCATACAAAATTTCTTGGGCAAGATGTATTTATTTAACGCCCAAAGATCCAAGATGGGGCGAAGGCCGCTACCGCGTTTGACAACTAGGAAATATCGAGAGAGAAAACAGAATGGAATAACAGAGGTGTCCACAGGGGAAATCGCCCCTTTCTGTAGTAACATCTCAACTTCTTGCAACAACGGGGGAGAAACCGGGGTTTCCCTAACATAACCCACTCTAGGCTGATCTTTGAACTCAATGGAGTAGCCACTAGCCACAATTGATAAGACCCACTTGTCTGTAGTGATGTTACACCAGTTGCAGTAAAAAGAAGAAAGCCTATTGCCAAAAATGGGTGTAGGCCCAGAGCAATTCACAAGAATGGGAACAGTATGCAAAGGTGAGGGGGGTTCCATAACGGGCAACTCAACCGGGGCAGGCAATGGATCCTGAACAGCATCAGCCCTGTCATGCATGAGGGGGCATCAAAGACGCTTCTTAGAAGTGAACTGAGTTTTTGACTTACCCTGAAAGGGTTAAGCCCTCATTTTAGGGAAATAGGAATTCCTTCTCCCTCCCTGGTATCTAGAGGAAGCGCTATTCCTATTCCTGAATGAACCTGTATAAGAGTTTCCAAAAGATTAACGATACTTAGTAGCTGATGGTTGCCACCTGAACCTCTGTTGGGAGTAAGGTTGCCATGTATAGCCAAACTTAATGGCTGACTGTCTGACATCCTGTTTCTGTTTAAGCTTGTCATCTGTGTCAGGGTTAAACAGGCTCTCCTCATGGAAGGGGAGGTCTTCGGCTAGGGACTTCCTCTCATCTGACAGATTAGAGGCGCAAAGCCACGCACACCTCCTAATCAAAGTGGCGGTGGAAAACAAATTGCCTGCTGCCTCAGCCAAATGTTTTGCGAAGTCCTTTTGCAATTTGGACAACGCCACTGCTTCAGCCTGCAGGGCTTTTGGGAGACGCTGTTCATCTGGAGGTAAAGCCTCGATGTAGAGCAACATCTTTGCCCATAAGAAGCTTTGATAACCACTCATATAGGTGGCGTAGTGAGCCATGCGGGTGAATAGGCTCGCAGAAAGATGGGCCTTTTTGCCTAAGAAATCCGCCTTCTTGTCCTCCCTGTCGGGGGGGGGGGCATCAGGGAGCTCTTAGGGCGCTTAGTTTTGGCCACTTCCGCAATTACCTTATTGGGCTTGGGGAGAGTGACTACCCATCTCGCAGAGGATACATCGATTTTATACATGGAGTCCAGTCTCCTAGGCACCGCAGGGACCCCAGGGCCGTTGTTGCACTTCTTGAAAGAAGTAGTCGCCATAGTAAAGAGGGAGAAGGTGATAGAGTAGTCATACAGTCCAGGTCAGGGTTACAGAATACCTCAGGTTGAAAAACAGTCCAAATCAAAATCAAAAGCAGTCCGTAAGCTCACAAAGTGAAGAGTGAAAGTTCTCAAGCTGCTTGCTAAGCGACGGATTAAGCGAACTGGTGGCTAGCCCCGCCCACGGGCTATATATACTCAGGGGAGTGGACGGGGCGAGGCAGGGGTAAAATGTCTATTTTTTATCTTCTAAAAGGTTCCGAAAGCTGTACTGCACAGGCACAGAGATACCAAATGTGCGATTCACAGTTGACTACGAAAGGAAACAAATGTGATACAGAAATGTATCTTTTTGTCTGTATTTCACAAGACTTTTGGAGCTGCAACACAAAACCGGGAGGTTAAGAAATGCTGTTTCTTCCACGCTTGGTGAATGTATCTCTACAGCCACAGTCATAGCATCTTTATCTTTATCCTTTCCTTCCCAGCATAAACTAATATTGACCATGTAGACTTTTGCTGTTTACAGCATGGTTCCCCCATATTTCAAGTTATTTGGGTTGAAAGGGAAAAAAATGTGGAGAATATTCCTCATTCTCCAAGGATCAGGTAGGAAGGGAGGTAGTAAAGGTAAAGGCATGGATATTTTCTAGATTATGCACATAAGCAGACCCTGAGGAGACTCATTATTTGGACTCCTGTCAGTGCATCAGCATTTTTTTTCCTTAAAATATATTTAAGGGCATTGTAAGACACACGGTAGGATCAAGCTATAATTTGTAATTCTGGACAATGTTTCAGATTTGAAAATATAGAAGAGTTCAAAAACAGAGTATAGCACCTGGTTTAAGTATCTGCACCAGGTGCTACACAGATGTGCAATATAAGAAAAATGACTCCCTGAAGCTACCAAACAGCCATAGAGACACTCCATGAACATAGCTTAACGCACACAGCTCCTTACATGGCTACCCATACATAAAAAAGAGAAGGGGGGTTAAATCTCCCCAGTAACAAATTATTTTATCTCTCCCCAGGTTACTTGATAATTTAATGGTGAAACAAGAATGCTTGGTGAATGGAATGCAGCTCCAAGGACAAATTCAGTCTTGTTGTAATTTTGAATATTATAGCACTAATTAAAATGTTAGTACAGTATACATCTTCTGTAGAAGATTAATACTGGAATCGTTTTAAGTATTTTAAACATGTTCCAGATGCCTTACCTGACTGATATATTGAGCCCTTGTACAAGACTAAATTAATTCATAAAAATAAATCATTAAAAATAATGTTCTTTCATAATCCTTACACTGAAAATTCCAAGGGTTAAAATTAAGGAATCATTTGAGGTTTGGGAAATCATTTTTGTTCCAATATACTTCATTGGTGGTAAATTTTAGTTTCAGAACAAACAAACAAAAAAACATAAAATGTACGCTATCATACCATAGCAAATTTGAAGGATATCTTTACACTATGTGCATTTAATATGTGCGTATAATATGTGCATTTTTTCAAACACTACATTTTTACAATTAACATCTCTGATTACTTTTGCTTTTTCCTTGGAGTTCCCTTTGCATATGTGAAATCTGTCAAAACATTTTTTGTAAGGAAGGAAACAAGTATCTTTCCAAACCACTACTAATTGATCACCTCCTTGGTGTTTAGAGTAATGCGGCTGTTAATAATAAGTATTCGTATCATTTCAACATTGCTTTTTGTGAGCAAAGTTTTAAGGTGCCCTTCTGCATAAACATACAAATGTGTGGAACCCACTACAAGAAACGCAATCTAGAAAAACGTTCAATGAATAAATACTCATTCAGGTTACCCTTTGCAACCTTACCCAGCGTTCCACAAGGCTTGTTTTTATAGGTGCAGATATCATATCTGTAAAAAGGGGAAAGCAAATATATTTATAAGAGATTCATCCTTGTTATACATTTTTATATTTATAACATTTCTGTAGTGTAACTCCAGTTGTCAGACTGCAGCCATTGAAATCATGTGCAGCCAGCTGGAGTTTCAGGTCTGCATTCTGGTGTAAACCACAGGCTGCAGTTTGCTCACAGCCTCTGGCCTCAGGCCAGTGGGACACCTGCCAGGAAGGAAAAAAAGGTTAAAATGGACCTTTGTAATCTCTGGCCTTATAAAACAGTCTGCCACTCTCGTGAAGCTGCAGCAGTATGTCTGCATAGCATTACAATTTCAACAAGAAAACTAGCAAATTATTGTTCTAAGCCTGATGAAATCTTTTCCTCTCTAATAACGCTATATATGATATTACAGAATACCTTTTAGATCCTAGCATTTTATTGTAACCTTGCTCAGTCAAAGTGTTTCCTGAAAACCAAATTAGCAAAACATTGGACTATTAGGTGATTACATAAAAAGTCATTTAAAAAAAAACCCAGACTGGTTTGGAGCAAAAGAACATCAGTGAAGGCCTTTTGGGACTACTCCTTCCTCCTCCAGCTTTACCCTCCAATTTAACTAAAAGAAATCAGATAAATATAAAATGGGAATTGTAATTATATGTTTTCTTGTAAATATAAAGTGAGAATTGCAATTATGTTATGTGCACATTATAGTGGCTCTTTATAACACTCTTATATGAAACGTGAACCAAAATGTAAACATGTATGCTGCAAATCAAGGGACAAATCCAGTATTTTTCTTTATTTGTGACTGGGACGCATGTGTACCATACACACACAACAAGGATCAGTAAATATACGGGTCACTGTTCTTCTAGTTCGGAGAGAGTTCAGCTTCCAAGTACAAGCAGAGCCGCTGAGACAAAAGCACATCAAAGCTCTCTAAGGTAAAAGTAAGTTAAGCAAGAGCTTGGGTTAAGCACATGTGTAAGTTTAGCAACAAGTCAGGAAAGTGGAGCCCCACATGCCTCACAATCTTCTACTTGCAATTAAGTGCACGTTTCAAGTTGATTAATCATACAGGTTGAACATCCCTTTCTGTAAATCCAAAATATTCTAAAATTATCCACATGGGGGCTATGAGAATAACACCTTTGATTTCTGATGGTTCAGTGCACATAAACTTGGGTTTCATAAACTTTTATTGCCTTTATTTATACATGAACAGTTATTAAAATATTGCATATAAAATGTTATTTAGATTATGTGTGAATTATGTATAAGAAATATAAAGGAATTCCATGTGCATACTTCTGTTCTACCTGCAACTTATTTCATTGTGTACATATATAAAATATATAGGTATTCCAAAATCAGAACAAAAGAGATCCAAAATACTGTTGGTCTCAAGCATTTCAGATAAGGAATACTCAACCTGTAATGGTTGAAGGGGGAAAGCTATGGGTTTTTTCCAATCCTTATCCCACCAACTGTGAGAATTCGTCTCAGGCAAACTCAGCACTGGGGCGAAATGTGAAGTTTCTACCCTTTAACCCACCAATTGTGAAGATTTCCATAGTGCTTACTGCAATTTCCAAGGATGATCCCCAATTAAGTGACACCAACTTTGCACACAAAATACCACAAGGGGTTATGCAACCGAGAGGATACCATCCCACTATATTTAAAGCCGCCACCAGATATCATGCCTGAATCCATGCTTTCAGACAGCGTTTCCAGAAGTCAAAAATTTAAAAACAAAAACCAATTTTTATTTACAGACTTAAACATAACACAGTATATTATTTATTTATGGTATTGAAAACAACTCTCCCCCCTTAAGATAGCAACTTATGAAAGTTGCCCCAAAGAAAATCTGTGTTGCCCCTAGCAGCCTCTCACAGCTTAGCTTTCATTTTACCTCAGCACTAGGAACCAATCGCTGCCACAATGCCAAATTGAGTGGTAAGTTGTTAAAGTATATTATGTATCAAAAAGTATTCTAATTTTTAAAAATTATTTTGTGAAGGTTATCCAATAGATTCTGCAAAACGCAATGCTGGCATAGGCCTGAATTCTGTTACTATTTTCAATTACAGTAGACTCACTGAATTGACGGAATTTACCTAAGTGTTTAATCATCATTCACGTGGACTGCTTTAGTTCAGACTTGTTGTTCATTCGTTCAGTCGTCTCCAACTCTTCGTGACCTCATAGACCAGCCCACGCCAGAGCTCCCTGTCAGCCGTCACCACCCCAGCTCCTTCAAGGTCAGTCCAGTCACTTCAAGGATGCCATCCATCCATCTTGCCCTTTGTCGGCCCCTCTTCCTTTTACCTTCCACTTTCCCCAGCATAAATGTCTTCTCTAAGCTTTGCTGTCTCCTCATGATGTGGCCAAAGTACTTCAACTTTGTCTCTAGTATCCTTCCCTCCAATGAGCAGTCGGGCTTTATTTCCTGGAGGGTTCAGACTACCCAATGTTATTTAGGCCATAAATAATGAATGAATGGAAGTATGCACTCTTGGAGCCATGTGTGAGATGCATAAGGCTTTAGTCATTGTTATGTTTTAGCTTAAAACAAACACATGAAGCAGCTGATATAGCAAATAAGAACAATGCTCATGCTAACTCAGACCTGATGAAGAGAGGTTTGAGTATGAATAATAGCTCCTGTATTTTAAAGTACAAACAAGGATACAACTCAACTATGTAGAATAGAGGAGAATTTAATGCACAAGTGGGGGACATTATATTTGTAATGCTATTTAATGTAGTAAAACTGTGGTAATTAAAAGTATGCAAACAAAAAGTAATTAAAGATTACCAATGACACATAGACTCCTAATAAACACATTAGCAAATTTATTTTTTATAATAATTTTATTATAATTTTCAAATAGGCAAATTCACATAAAATAGGGGTAAATTGTAGGGGAAAGGGGGACAGAGAATGATTAAGGAGTGGTAGGGAGGGAAATTTAGGAAATTTCAAAGTGAATGTTAACATTTAAACATAAGGCTTTATTTCTGTTAAATCTGCTAGGTTCCCATCAGAGGCAGCCCTAGATAATTTTCAATGGTAAGCTAACAGTATTTTGGTGCCCCCCCCCCCCAATCACTGATATATATTTTCTGTTCATCATGGGAGTTCTGTATGCCATATTTGGTTCAATTCCATCATTGGTGGAGTTCAGAATGCTCTTTGATTTTAGGTGAACTATACATCCCAGTAACTACAACTCACATATGTCAAGGTCTATTTCCCCCCAAGAGAGCCTCAAGAGCACCCCTGGGCAAAATCAACTATACTGCAAATGCTTACTTTGCGTAATGGATTGAGCCGCCCCTGGTTCCCATTATCTTTTAATGTTAGTCTCTATTAAAATCGTAATAACAGCTTTTCTAATCTATTGCTATGATAGAACAGCTAATTCCGTAAGTTCACATTCTATCACTCTTCTTTTAAAAGATGATGAAATTTGTTTTTAGAAAACCATCAGAGAAAATGAATTAGTATGAAAATTACTTCTGTTCTACATAAAAAATGATAATATTTCAATAACTCTCATAAAAGCAATTATTTATTAGTACTATATTTCTTATTTGCTGAAAAGTTGGATTAAGAAATCAAATAATGGGAGAAGACCAGTTGTTCCTTAATAGAGAGATTTTTTAAAAGTCATGGCTAGCAGAAAGGTTTTGGCCATTTTAATTTCTTCATAACTACTTGATGCTTCAAAATGTGAAGAGTTGAAAGAGTAAATAAAAATGAATAAAATATAAAATGGAAGCAGGAAGGCACAGGGATGGGGCCTGGACTAAAGTTGCTGGAGATTACACTATGACTACCCTGAAGCAAGATTACTAGAGTACCTATTAAACTGATGATAAAGTGTAGGATACAATAGATAAATAAGTAAATAAGTGGTAAAAAAAATCAGGATGGCCCAACAAGCACTTTCACATTAAAATGTACATATTTTTAAAGACAAAGATGAAACATATATACAACACTTAGAGGAAAAGGAAGTTACCATATACATGGAATATGAATACCTCACTTTAATAACAAGTAGGTTTCAACCTAAGTTATTATATTATCCACTAGCTTTTCTGACTTCTGTTTTCTTTTTAATACTGTCCAGCCTCTAAAGACAGCTTTATTGTACCTAGAAATTAATTTAGGCAAAAGACTATTCTCAAATACATGTGATTTTTAAAACAGCAAGTGCTATTTCAATTTAGTTAACATTTAATAAATATAATGCATATAAAACCATTAAAATTTTAATCAGACAAAATGATAATATGCATAGTGAAATGAAGAGTTTAATACATAATGAATTAGATATATAAATGTTTTGAAGCAGTACTTTTCAAAGCAGATCTGATTATTTTTATGGTGGGGTGAAAACAGGAAAAGCAAACATTTCTGTGATGTATTCTATGGAATATTTCTGTCTCATTTTAACAACTAACCATTAAAACTTATGAACCATATCCTGCAGTTAATGGGCTGTTAACATTTTAAAGCTTTCCTAGTTCTACTGTAAATCCCTGAGCCTTTCTGTAGCTGTGACAAGACTTACATAGCAGTAAGAAATCATGTCAAGTACAGTTTTGAGAATGAATGGTAACATATATTGGTTTAGTAACTTCATTACTATTGTTTGAATGAATACATACTATTTTGGCATCAGCAATCACTACTAAAATCAGTTCATATATCTGGGTATTCTGAATACAGTATATATATATATATATTTGTTTCAATGTTTACAACAAAATTTCCTTCATGTTTTAAAAATAGCTCATGGCTCCTTATATTCCCACACTTTCTTCAAAACTGAGGTTTACATCTGTTCATGTGGTACTTCTTTAATATAAAATGATTGAACTGATTACATGATCTCCAAGTAAGGTTTTTTAAATTCAGAAAAAATGTTCCTTACGCTAGCTCATGCTCTTCATGCTGCCTTGTACTCTTCACACTAGCTTGTCCTCCTAACA